GGATCAAGGAGAGCCTATAATCACTTCTCATGTCAAACTACACTTAGGATTTTGCCTAGACAAACATTCAGGGCAAGTTCTAGACTCAATGGCACGAGATTTGGACTTGCAATTCAAATTCTCACCACACAAGCTATAGGATTGCTAAAGAGACAGAGTCGGGGGCCCACAACAACTTTAGCTAAGATTTGAGCAACATACATGGTCCCGAAAAACCACTTGATGATTGTCGGCCAACACAAAAGTCTCAAGGTCACAACTATCACCATCCTATACACACCAATTTGTTTTTGACCATAAGATCAAAGGCAAATGTGTTAGGCCCAAGTGAAGTTTGCCTGAGGCATTATTACTCACTAGCTACTTATTTACACTAAAACAAAAAGAAAACATACTCAAACCCTTAATAAGGTTGTCATGCCATCCATCATCGGGAAGAGCCACCCAGTTCACAAAAATTCCACCTTTGGAAAGAACCGTGGTATTAAGAAAACCAAAGGCTTATTTGACAAAACTCAAAATAAAAAGCTACAAAAGAAAATGCGGAAAGTAAAATGAATATGTACAATAGGAGATTTAGATGAATATACATAAGAGGGAATGAATATATACATCAGAAAGTAACTTTATATACAGACCAAAGTTGCAAAGTACGAAAAGTGAAATAAACTGGTAAAATTATGTACATACCAAAAGTGAAAATCAAAGCATAATAAAACGAAAATAGTATCGTATTACAACACCATATCATCAAAATAGGGCTACCCCCTCAAATGAAAGCTAGCATTGTCTTTAATGCTAACTAACCAAAAATAGCTCAAGAAAAGATAGAGGAGTAAAGAAGACTCCCTATTGGCCCTCCGTCTGCATGGGATCACGAGCCTGGGTCCCTAGGTCCTCGGACTGCTCGGGAACCTGTGACTGGATCCCTGTAACCTGTGTCTGCACTGGGACCTGGGCTGCACTGGGACCTGGGGCTGGTTAGAGGAACCTTCCTGAGGCTCCTCCAACTCAATCACTACATCATCAGTATGGGGAATCGCCCTTCTCCTCTTTGGTTCCCTCTCTAACTCCCTCTCCTGCTCAGGCTGGGCTGCTGGAATCGGATCATGCAATAGTAGCTCCAAGGGCAAGTGATCAACAGCCTTCATCTTCTCCACTTTTACCCTCAACTCCTTCACAGACTCCTTTGATGCTCGAGTCTTTCTCAACTTCTTTGTTTCCTTTGTCAGCTCCTTCAATGCTTTTCTATGAATACCTACAGCCTCCAATATCAATTGTTGGTTCTCCAGGAGCTTCTTCTAGTTGTACAGAAGCTCCTTGAGAGTCTCCTCCACTTAATTTGGAACCTGTGGCTGTGGGGGTACGGACTGGGCTGCCACCGAGGTAGAAAGCACAAAAAGCTAAGAAGTAGCTGCTTGCATCCAGTTGTTGATATTGGTAAGGGTCTGGCCCAAACAGTGGGCAGTCAATGGGTAGGCTGTGGATGAGAGAATATCTGGAGTGGTGGAAGTAGAGGGTCCTGGGGAAATATCTTGTGTAGTTGAGGGAGGCTGAGTAGAGGGGACTACTACTACTGGCTCTTCAGGCTGGCCAGTAGAACTAGTGGCTTTTCCTTTTGGATCTTTGGCTTTGGAGTTGTCATCACTCTTCAGGTTGTACCAGGAAAAAGGTAGCTTCGGTTTCACCTTCAATCAAACTTCCTTTTCTCCATATCCTGGTCCTTAAAGTACATTGTCAGGAAATTTGGGAAGGGATATGATCTATCACCTTCATTGACCTCCCGTGTGATCATCCTAGACATAACATTTCTGACGTTGATCGGGTACCCCGCCATGATAGAAGCCACCAAGATTTCCTGAGAGATAGGCAGAGAGTTCTCATGAGTAGTGGGTCCAGCCTCGTGCATACGAAAGTCTCCCACCCCTTTGCTTCGAAGTTTAAAGTTCTCCTCAGAATTGGGACTCCTGCTGTCAACCAAGCTGGGGTGGTACCCGGGAGTGCCAGATATTCTGCCAACCATGGACGGGCTGCCTCGTCCAATGCCACCTTTTCTAAATACAATGATTCATCTTCCTCCAGAAATCCCAGGTAGTCATTGATTGTCTTCCCTTCAAACTTCACTGTCTAACCTATTCCACAATGTCTCAATTGGGTTAATGATGTTAGCTCTTGGTATGGGGTCTTATCGAAGCGCTTTATTTCATTTGATTACTCATGCTTATTCCAAAGCATTATTATTTTTAGGATCCGGATCCATTATTCATTCAATGGAAACTATTGTTGGATATTCTCCAGCTAAAAGCCAGAATATGGGTCTTATGGGAGGTTTAAGAAAACATGTACCAATTACCAAAATCACATTTTTATTAGGTACACTTTCTCTTTGTGGTATTCCACCTCTTGCTTGTTTTTGGTCCAAAGATGAAATTCGTAATGATAGTTGGTTGTATTCGCCAATTTTCGCAATAATAGCTTGGGCCACGGCGGGATTAACCGCATTTTATATGTTTCGAATCTATTTACTTACTTTTGAAGGGCATTTAAACGTTCATTTTAAAAATTATGGTGGGAAACAAAAAAACCCCAATTGGTACACGCAAGAAATAGGCTTATTCAGCAGCCTTTTGTTCAATTTCTCGTGGAGTCAAATTCTCATCAGTACGAGTCAAGGGAATGGACCCCTGGCCTCGGATGTCCATATAAAGAACACGACGAGCATAAATACCCTCTTTAACTTCTATTCTAACGGACTGAATATCTTTTATAAGGAATCGGAGGAATATGCGACGATTTTTTCCCGAAAATCCCCAACGAAAAATACAGACTATTCCTTCCTTTCTATCGAATCGACCATAACCACTACCTACATTCCAGGAAATTGTGCACCACAAATAAGAGCTAATAAAGAGATCCGCAATTCCGTAGAAAGACATCACGATTCCTTGTGGAAAAAAATAATTTGCTGAGGTGGAAAAAAAGATATCAAATTTCTACCAAGATAACTGGAAGTTCCAACTAATAAGAAGCCTAATGAACCTAAAAAAAGGATAAAGGCCCAGCAGAAATTACTTATTTTTCGAGATCCTGTTATAAGTTCTATCCATATATGTTCTGATCGCCAAGTCATACTTTACCCGATTGCATTTTATTGGAATTGAGATAATACCCCAGAGAAATTTGACTTTACTTTTTTGTTTCCGAAGTAACTCTCATCAACTAGCACTAGTTTGAGGTGAACTAGCACTAGTTTGATGTCAACCTTTAGGAGTAATTCATCAAATTAGTTAAATCTAAAATAATAACATACTCTTTATTTAATACGATCCCACTATACATATCGATATACATAGAGATTCACCGACTACATTTCAGGCATCCAGCAATCCTGATCTATTTGAAAATTGCTAGAATTGATATATCCATATATCATATTTCTGTAGGCATAAAAGTTTTTTCCTTTATGTTCGGTGGAAATCACATGTTATACTATATTCCAATAAATAGATATCTGTGTTATGATACAATTTCACATTTTCAAAAAAAAAATGGATGAGATTGGGTCCCAGCGGATCTAAACAATCTTATTTTTTTGAACATGAAGAAATAAAGAAGCCATTGCAATTGCCGGAAAGACTAGGCCTACTAACGGCACAAAAATAGATGGAAGGTTCAAATTTGTCACAGAAGGGTACCTCGATTTACTATTTGTATCTGTTATTATGTTATTATATAAATAAAGATATCTTGTAATAATTATAATTAAATTAAGAATTTGAATTCTAATTACTAATTAGAAATTAGATAATATTTATTATTAATAGAATTTGAAGAATTTGAAATTCTTAGTATAGATCTAAGTATCTATATATCTAAATCTAACTGAGTAGGTATAATAAGTGCAAAGAATGTAGAACTGTAGAACTAAATAAATGGACTTATTCATCTCCTACATGAGAAAGATATGTATCATAATAAACTTTATTATTTTTCTTCATTTCTTTGTCTTTTGTTCTTGTCTTCTAATTTTCTAAAAATAGATAAAGAGTTTCTTACAGATTATCGAAAGATTCGTTCGAATCCGACCCAACATGAATTTTTAGCTAAAATGGTTTTTCGGGAGATAGAGAAAGATACAAAACTCTATTATCTATATTTGAATTTCAAATTATATACCTAAGACAAGAAGAAGAAATTCGTTTTATTTTCCTAATTTCACGAAAGGAAGAACTCACTCTTGTTGATAAAGGCTTCTTGATTCGTAATCAGGAATATAGGTAAAAAAAAGAGTTATCCTCAACTTTAGTTTTGATTCTTTCCACAATTAGATCTTCTATCACCAAAGAAAGCGCCATTATTATCTTATTTACTTTGATTCCGACAAACTAACTACTTTTTTGCTACAAACACAAATAAAATAATTGAACTTAGTGCTCTACTTGATTTTGCTTGACTTTTGATTCAAAGGAAAAAAGGCGTGGAGCTTAAATAACTCACTCAGAACGCTTTTTAAAAGATTACGTGGTACAATTAGGTCGAATAAACCCTTCTGGAATAAGTATTCAGCTGCTTGTGAACCTTCGGGTACTGTTTTATTCAATGTTTGTTCAATTACTCTTTTACCTGCAAATGCAATGTAGGCATTGGGTTCGGCAATAATGATATCCCCCAACATACCAAAACTAGCTGTCACTCCACCAGTTGTCGGAGATGTAAGGATTGAT